CTCCCCCTCCTCCCCCGCCTTCCCCCAAACTATTCTAGGCTGACGTCTGAAGTCACTGGAATGGGCACACTGTAATTTCTACCCATCTTCCCTCAGTGCATCACATGACCTTTGAGCAAAAGCCATTGCACCTGATATATATTTATTTCTCTGTGTTTGACTGTCCTGATTTATTAAGTGACTTTAACTATGATTTCTAGTATTTACTGTCAATACATGTATCCGCACTGTTCCTAGGATTCCTCACACCTGTCCCTGTTGTTTTCTGAAAGGTTGCTTAACTTTTTTGACACCCTAGTACCTTTCATGGCATCTCACGTACCGCGCTGCTTTGTTTTATCTCATGTTTCAACTTTTTCTTTCTTGCACTGCAGGCACCAGTCAATGCAAAGCAAACCTGTACATTGGTATGACAATTTAAACCAAGGTTTACTTTCCTTCAGCCCGCATTCTCCTATTTTATGATGGATGGAATTGGTGCTTTACCATGTGAACATAGACATTTGCCTGCTTTTAATTGTGTAGTGTTGTTAAATTGTTCTGCATGACACACAACACCTACTACATTTTCAATTGATTTCAAACTCAAAACTGCGGAAAGGAAGACCAAATGCTAAAAGGGAATGGAGGGACAGAAACGGTCTTTTGATCTGAAAGTGTGACTTGACTCCAATTTGGAATAGGTACAGGCCAGTAAACAACCCTCGTAATGCGCAAATATCCAAGTTTCATGCAAAAAAGACTGTTGTGGAAAAATGGAAATGACTAAAGTGAAGGGTGAAATCCAAATGCATGCTACAAATAAACACCACTTTATTCGCTTATACTCCACAAACATAATATAACTTTCATGTCATTCATGCTGCCATGTCATAACAAATATAGAGGTATGGGCCATATAGAAAATGATTGATTCTGGTGACCTCACATGTAACTCATTTAAGGCACAGTTTGCTAGGCAACAAGCCTTTCCAGTTACGGAAAATGTAGTATGTTTCTGGTTAGCATGTATAATTCACTAGAGACATACTTGTACGTATGTATCCACAATGAACCAGTTTTGCAGATAGAGTCTCTGCACCATTAATTTACCCTTGTGCCTCACTAGGGACATTTTCCGCTTATCTCATATTATCAGTCCATAACAAAGCGTGTAGTCAGAACCCATTCAAACAACATTTTAAAAATGTGTTTTTGTATTATTTTTTATAAAAATTAAAGGGAAATTATTTAAACAATCTGGCATTTCAAGGGGTTGACGTTTTAATAAAGGATATGAAAATGGGGAAGTTATGATGAAGACAGGAGTAGAAGTTATTTTAATTTTATAATACATTTTGCAATCTGGCAATTGTTTGACTCACTGACATTGTTGTCATCAGAGCATTTTTTGTGAGGAACAACGGTTGACATTTATTTTGTAATCAGTCTAAATTATTATACTAGAATATATTTCAGAATGGTGCATATAGTAAGAAAAATTAAAATGGCAATTTAATAAAAAGTGTGGATGACTTATTAAAATGTATCACCCAACATACATACAGTTTTATATAACATCAATATTTCAGATATCATCGAATATAAACCAAAATCTTTCTGTATGTCCTGCAAAAAATACAACTGGATGGCCTTATTAGTATCTGCAACTGTCATGGTAATGTATGCTCAACGATAAATAAATATAAGATATGTAGTCTACAACACAGAGGAGACTTCAACAAATAGCCTAATATATTATTAATCTGATGACTGTGCTACTGATTGCAGGTAGCTATTATTTTAAATCCATCTTATCTTAATAAAATTATACATGTTACTCTCAACGCCTGGAAATGCATTACTCCAATGATAAATAATGTTCTGGGAATATTATTCAGTCATTACAGGTACATGGCTTTTTGGTTGATTTTAAGTGAGTCACTAAAATGTTTTTGTTGTTGAGAAATAGCTGCTTCACATTAATACATTAACATACATCCACACATTGCTTCACATTTACATGATGAATGTAAATATGTACATCAGCGCTCATCTGGCTGCATCTGGATTTGTTTCAGATGTGAGGAAAAGCTAAATGAAGGCTGACAATAACGATTTTGTAATAATACCATAGTGTAGAAATACCTGTTAAGTCAAGGATGTTACTTAATTAAGAGTACAAAAGTACAATATTTGCTTCTGTAGTGGAGTAGAAGTATAAAGTAGCATAACATGGAAATGTAAATGTACTTAGTTACTTTCATCCACTGTTTTTTCATTTTTAATATAAAAAACTGCATCATCAAAGCAGATTATTATCTTAAGAAAATTCCACATTGATAGTTGTGTCTGTTGGTTGAAGGTGGTTGTGTGCCAGCCATGATGCAGTCATGCTGCTTTATGAGCCGTTTGCAAACATCTCAGTTGCCTTTTTGATTGTCATATCTGTCATAATCATGCATCGCTCATGTCCTTATCATTACGGTGTTCTATTTACACTCTGTAGTGTAAATAGAACACCCTCTTCTTGTGTTGATTTTGCCTTTTAACTCAACATTTACACATTGATGTTACTGTGCTAGAGCAGCAACAAAATGAAAGGCTAGCACCATAAATTGTTGTTGGAGGAAATGTGTCTGATCATGTTTAGTTTGATAATTTGCTTTTTGAAAGTCTGTATTGGATTTATTATTTATTGAGGTTCATACTGAAATGTTTTGTAAAAAGAAGAGAATAAAGTTTGTGTTTTTTCCCTTGACTGGTTTTACTTATTGAGAATTCTGTTGGATTTGTGTCTCATTCATTTTTTACAAAAGCTTATTATATTTAATAAGCAGCAGAGCGCTAGCATCCCTTGTCTAATGAATTAAGTAACAGAACAGCTAGTTTTTTTAAACTTCAATTAAACAATTATCTATGTTTTTCTTCAACATTTCCACTTTTAACATTTCAGACAGTCAAACCTTAAGAATTGGTCCGTCTTCTTGCCAGTAATAGGCAAGTTTAATCATCTTTGGGTTTTTATTTGGTGCATTTTAACCCAAGGAGTCTGTTAATCAGAAACCAATCTAAGAACTAAAGGAGAATCCAATGGCATCTGTTGACATAACAACAACAACAACAACAGAACTCCGGTTATTAGATGCTAAACTCAGGTCAGCTGAACATTAACCCAGCCAGTAAAGTTCTTCAGTGGAAAAAGATAATAAATTGAGGGATTATAAAAAGACCTTGACGTATTCTGCCTTCCAAAAATGCGGTATTTAAAAAAAGGGAGCTTGTGAGCATATGCTCTACTAATTTTTTTAAAAATTTAAACAGCCTAAGTCCCCCTCCTGATCACAAATGTGTGTTACTTCACTGTAATGTTTGACCTTCACTTCCTAGAATGTTGTATGTGCAGAGTTTGATTGACACCAGAACGCTGTTTTCACAATGATTTTCTGAATGTTGTCTTCGCTCACCTTGAATCTCTGGCCGTTTCTCAATGTCGAGTACACCTGCTGCAGAGCCACTATTTCAAGTATACTACGTCATCGAGTGGCGCCGAAGGACTGTTTAAATGCATGTTAAATGCCCAGCATTCGGCGCCACTCAATGACGTAGTATACTTGAAATAGTGGCTCTGCAGCAGGTATACTCGACATTGAGAAACGGCCTCTGTTTAGCGTGTGTATGCTGCTTACAAGAGAATATTGTGCCATAACATGTAGTTAGGAAGCTTATTCTGGTGCAGTGTTTATCTAGGAGCTGATGTTTGTGTTGTTTTTGTCATATAGCCTTATACGTCAGATGGTTTGTTACACACAACTATATAAGTATCCATCATTCGAAACTGGAAGAGGGCAACTCTTTTAAATACTTTTCGTTTTTCGGATTAACCGTCTGTCAATTAAACTTTTGTCAAAGCTAGTTCATTGCTGCTCTTCTTTCAATTAAAAAGTACCTCTCAGTTCTAATATAACTGATGTTATATGGTGCAGGAATGAGTCCTAAACCCAGAAAGGAGTAAGGGTTTTAGCACTTCTGGGCTCCCTCATATCAAGTCAATAGGTTTTTTTTAAAATAATTTTTTGGTTAGACTCCCCAAATAAGGTCATTTTCAAGTTTTGTTTTACAATATAAAATAGGCCAGTAAACACTCCACTGGTGAATGTCTAAGTTTTAACATGTCATAAAAATGGTGGTTGCTATCAAGTGGCTAAATGAGAAACTAAACACCATCCCGCCAACAATGTGCTGCCTTTAGCTAAGCGCTGGTGAAGTCATGCAACACACATTTTCTTTGTTATAGCATTACGTTAGCTTTTGACTTCTTGATCTGACGGTTGCCTCTTATTGTTACGTCAGTCACACCTGCTGCCAGTGGCTCCTGATTGGTCAGATCACCGGCTGGAACAAACACATTACTTGAAGCTTGAGGAGATGTATTTCGCATAACTTACAAAGTCCTCCTCCTCACCTACAAGTCCCTCCATGCCCTTGCCCCCCAGTACATATCAGACATCCTTCACCCACATGCCCCACCCCAGAACCTGCGGTTTTCAGACTCTGGCCTGCTTACCACCCCCTGCACCAACCTGCGAACCTTCGGGGACAGAGCCTTCAATATGGCAGCCCCCACCCTCTGGAACGCTCTCCCTGCGGAGATCCGCAACATCCCCACGCTTGACGCCTTCAAAAGGGC